GCAGGAAGAGGGGCAGGACCAGAGGGCCTCCTGAGCTAGAATCCTAGTTGTGCCATCAGCTGGTTGTGGGTCCTGAGCAAGTCGCTTCACCTCTCTGAGCATCTGCTTTCTCGCTGGCAAAATGGGATGAGAATCCCAGATGTTGTAGGATTGACATGAGGATAAATGAAATCATACATGTGAAATGTCTCAGGAGAGAGTAGATCCTCCACACACAGTGGCTTGTTTTGTGAATACCCCGCTCCTGAAGCCCTTCTGTCCGGGGGCAGCTCGGTATTGAGAGCTCCTGCCCTTCTCAGTGGAAAGGGTGACTTTGTGCGAGAAAAACAGCCCCTCCTGTCCTCTGCAGTTCATCACCCAGCTGTGTGCCCGTTTGACACTTGGCTGGGCTTGCTTCTGGGGCTTCTGGGCATTGAGCCAGCTCCCTTCTCCTTGAGCCTGGAAGTGGAGCACACGGGGTGTGTGTGTGTGTGTGTGTGTGTGTGTGTGTGTGTTAGTAGAAGAATGCGTGTCTGTGTGTAGATGAGTGAGGGGGGTGGGGCTTGCTGCTACATGTTTGTAACTGGGAGTGAATATATGGGAGTGAGTGAAGAGATTGGGGGTGTGTAAGCCCTGACACATGCACTCTAGTTTCAGCTTACAAAGCAGCAGCGTGCATGTGCACAGACTCTGAAGCCAAATCCCTGGGTTCAAATCCTCTCTCTACAAGGTATGACTTTAGGCAAATTATTTCTCGTTACCTCAGGTTCCTCCTCTGTATCATGAAGAAATACCAACAGTTTCTCTCCCTTCTCTCAGGATTTTTGAGGATTAGATGAGTTGATATGTGTCAGGTGCTTAGGATAACGCCTGGCACATGGAAGGAGCTAAGTTTTTTCTGCCGTCATTTCTCACTATTATTTTCATCACAAGGACTTTGACTTTGCAGGAGAAGGAATTTATGTCTGTTGCCTCCACTGCTTCCACAGCAACCCTGTGATGTGGGCAGCACGGATCTCAGGTGACACCTGATGACACTGGGGCTCTGGGAGGTTTAAGTCCCCTGGCACAAAGTTAGGAAAAGACAGAGCTGGTACCCAAACTGAGGTCCAAGAATGCCAAAACCACTGGCGGAGAGACAGGAGGAGGGGGGCTCTTGCGGGCGATCTTCCAAGCTCCCCTGAGGTCCACTCAGGCAGGCAGCTCTCCTGTTTCTGAAACCAGGTGAGGGGTGGTGGGAGGTCATGCTGTGGAGACGTGTTCAGCTCCCTGCCCACACCCCTTACTCCTTTTTCTACCCAGAAAACACGGTTGCTTCCCCAGAGGACATGCCTTCCTCCATTTCAGCTTCAGCCTGCACCGCAGTGCCAAGTAAACAGCAAGGGTCCATCCAGTTGAGAAGCTGTGGCAGCGGTTACAGGATGGTGTCCTGCGTCACACCTGTCTTCTGAGTTAGGTAAGGGTAGGGGTGCGGGTGACTGGTATTGATGCTGAGATGGGATGACACCTGCAGGAGCTGAAAAGAAGGACCTGAGCTAACATACTTCTGATCACTTATCTGTCCTTTGATTTGCTCTCATTCCCCCACTGACCATCCATCACCTGCCATGCACTGCTCTAGGTGCTGGGATGCTCCCTGAGTCAACATATTGGACAAAATGCCACCTGTGGAACCACAATCCGTGTTTCCACGAGACCCACAGGCAGAGTCAAGTCTGAGAAGTGCTGTTACTGGGCATTTGGCCCCAGCAGGCAGAAGCAGGTTAGGTGGGGAGATTACGCAATAAACAGGACCGAGCCCAGCTCCACCCCTTCCTCATTCCCCTCCTCATTGCCTGTCCCACCCCTCAGCTGGGATATGAAAAGCTCTGTCAGCCCCCAGCTTTCCTCAGAAGCCCTCCCGCAAGGCCACGAGCATGAGCCGGCTCTGCCTCTCCATCGCCCTTCTCGTCCTCCTGGGCACCCTGGTGGCCGGCACCCCGGGGGGTGAAACCAGCAGCCAGGCCCAGGGTAAGTCCTGACCCACCTCACCTCTACGGGCTGGGGAGGGATGAGGGGAGTCCATGGGAGGGGCTGGGGAGCAGGGGTGGGGTGGGTGCTGACAGCCTCTCTGGATTTCTCCTGGGAAGTTGGGCAGTTTTGACTCCAGGGACATTTCATGACTCTGAATAGGAAAAAAATTAAAAGTCAAAAATTTTAAATATATATCCCGCCTACCTCTACCAGATCAGGAATCCCATCTCTGACACTCTCTATTCCTGGTCAGTGCCGTGTCCCTGAACTTCAGTGTAGTGTAATAAAAAGATCAATATTTGATCCTTGCCCTGGTTCCTGGAACAGACCTCCTGAAACTCCTGGAATTTACTGTCTTTTTTATGGCAATGAGGTGAGTAAAGGAATGGGACCAGAGAGACCTTCAGGGTGGGGCTGGTCTCCAGAAAAACCCAATCATGTGTTCAGAGGCTAGAATTTTCATCACCCCACATCCCAGCACCTCTGGGGAGAGGGGAGGGTATTGAGATGGAGATCAATCACCAATGGCCGATGATTCAATCAATATGCCTATTATTGACACCTCAGTAAAAATCCATAAATATTGGGGTTCAGAGAGCTTTCGGGGTGGTGAGCACGTGGAGGGCTGTGGGGGGTGCGCTCCACTAGGGCACGGGGCCTCCAGGCACCTCTGCTCCCCCTTCGCGCTGCGCATCTCCTCCGTTTCGCTGTCGCTGAGCTTTACCCTTTACAATAACCTGGGAACGGTAAGTAAAGGGGTTTCCTGAGTTCTGTCTCCACTTCTACTGGTTAGTGAACATGGAGGTGGGGTCATGGAGCCTCCGATTTTTAGCCAGTCGGTCACAAGCATGAGTGACTCTGGACCACATGGCTCGCATTTGAAGTAAGGACAGTCTTGAGTCCTCAACCTGTGGGATCTGCAGTAACTCCACCGATTTAGTATCAGAAGTAAATTGAAGGACTTCCCTGGTGGTCCACTGGCTAACACTCCCCCCTTCCAATGCAGGGCTCCTGGGTTCGATCCTTCGTCATGGAATCAGATCCTACATGCCAGAAATAAGAGTTCCCATGCCCCACCTAAAGTTCCCTCATATCGCAACTAAAGATTTTGTATGCAGCAACAAAGATCACGCGTGCGTAATGAAAATCCAGCAAGCTGCAACGAAGATTCCGCATGCCTCCACAAAGATCCCGAATGCCTCAACCAAGATCTTGCATGCGGCAACGAACATCCCACACCGGGCAACTAAGATCCCGCACATGGCCACGAAGATCCCGTGAGCTCCAACTAAGACCTGCCACAGCCAAATACTTACATACATGCCTACATATTAAAAAAAAAAAAAAAAAGAACTAAATTGACTCGTGGGATGGCTACTGGTTATTGGGGAATTGGTTAGTGATGGTGGAGACACCACATACTTGGTGTCAGGGAAAATCCCAGACTCCCTCTTCCCTGTGATTTCGGGGCTCAGGTGAGGCTTGGGGATAGGGGAGTAATGAACGTGGGACACTGCACCCAGAAAACCCTTACCAAGTTACCTGTATTTTCAGAATTCCTGGCAGAATCAGGTAGTTTATCAAATGGGTTGTGACATGATAGTAGGTTGTCCTGACCCTATCACACACATGCTGTGTGTCCTGGGACAAGTCATTTGCAGTTTCCTCACCTGAAAGGGGATACATATTACATGGGTTGTTTGAACAGCTTACCAGTCATGCATTTAAAGAGTTTACTCACATTTCATTGCCAACTTTGTCCATTTTCCACCAAGATGTGTTAATCTGAAAAAACTTCTCTATCTACTTCCTTTGGGCAAGAAAAAATATTTAGGCGTCAAATAATGTTTATTCCTCTAGGATTAAAATTAATCAGAAAGACGTGGGACCACTGAGCTGAGCAACTGCAGGGAAAGCGCTTGTGTGAGTTGGCTCCTGGGACCAAGGCTGATACAATCTTAGTAAAGGCTCAAGGCCCTTTCCCTTATCCCGCCAACCTTTTAAAAAATATTTATTCATTTGGCTGTACCAGGTCTTAGTGGCCGCAGGCAGGATATTTTAGTTGCAGCATGCGGAATCTTTAGTTGTGGCATTCAAACTCTTAATTGCAGCATGTGGGATCTAGTTCCCTGACCAGGGATTGAACCCGGACCCCTGCATTGGGAGCACAGAGTCTTAACCACTGGACCACCAAGGAAGTCCCTCTTTTGTCCCCTTTTGACTATCATTTTATTATCCTTTTTTTTTTTTTTGCAGTACGTGGGCCTCTCACTGTTGTGGCCTCTCCTGTTGCGGAGCACAGGCTCCGGACGCGCAGGCTCAGCGGCCATGGCTCACAGGCCCAGCTGCTCCGCGGCATGAGGGATCTCCCCGGACCGGGGCACGAACCTGTGTCCCCTGCATCGGCAGGCAGACTCTCAACCACTGAGCCACCAGGGAAACCCTATTATCCTTTTAAGATACAGAATGTTAAAGGTAGATTGATAATTACGTAGACCTGCCCCATCATCAAGGAGACTTTGCACTAACAGGAATTCAGTTATATCCATTCTATTCAGTGATTGTGCACTGAAATGGAAGATTTATTCCCTTGCCATATATTTATTAAGTCCCTACGAAGCATGGTTCTTGGTGTGGGGAAAGAACTGTAGACAAAATATGGCAAAATACCTTGCCTTCTAGGAGGGAGACAGACAATAGCAAAAGGGGGGAATACTCTGCTAGGTTATGAGTGTTTTGAAGGTAGAGAGTGATGGGGATAAAGGAGGCTGTGCTCCTTCTGTAGACTGATCAGCGAAACCCTCTGCGATAAGGGGGCGTTGGAGCAGAGGCTGCAGAAAGAACGTGCCTGGTGTGTTTGAGGAGCAACGATCACCAGGGTGGCTGGAGCTGAGTGGGTGCGGGGGGGGGCGGGACGTGGAAGGAGATGAGGCAGAGAGGCCATGGGGGCAAGTAGGACTTTATAAGAATCAGAATTTGACTCAGAGAGATGGGGAGTCACTGATTGGTCGTGGGAGCAATGGGGTAGGACTCAAGTTGTAACAGGATCCCTGCGGCTGCAGTGTGCAGAATGGCCTCTGGGGGGCGAAGGGCAGAGACAGAGAGGCCCAGGGAGCAGGCTCCTGCAGGGGTCCAGGTGAGCAATGATGGAACGTGAACCTATGTTGTTCCCTGGGTCGATGCCAGTCCTTTTGAACAACATAAATCTCTTCCTCTGTTGAGGTTTCTATGGAGGCTTCATTACCTAGTCATGATGCATTAAATCATTAGCCATTGGTGACTATTGAACCTCCAGCTCCTCTCCAATCTCTGAGGTTTGGGGTTGGGGAACTGTGGATGGAAGGCCTTGGAGGAGGGTAGGAATGAAAGTTGCAACTTTCCTGTCAGGCAGTGGTTTCCCCTGGCAACCAGAGCCTATTCTGGGGTTGCTAGGTTCTTCCCAAAAGTCGCCTACTTCACATAACAAAAGACACGGTTATTACTCTCAGCATTTAAGAAATACCAAGGTTTTTAGGAACTTCCCTGGTGGTCCAGTTCCTAAGACGGCGTGCTCCCAATGCAGGGGGCCCAGGTTCGATCCCTGGTTGGGGAACTAGATCCCGCGTGCATGCCGCACCGAAGAGTTCGCATACCACAGCTAAGAAGTCCTCATGCTGCAACTAAAAGATCCTACATGCTGCAACTAAGACCCGGTGCAGCCAAAATAAATAAATATAAAACAAAACAAACAAACAAAAAAAATCTTTAAAAAGAAAAAGAAATACCAAGGTTTTTAGGAACTCCGTGCCAGAAAAATGACAAAGAACAAATGTATATATTTCTTATTATAAATCACAGTATCAATATAGTGTCAATATTCAATTTATACAGTCCCCATGAGGTAACAAAAGTGAACACACTGGTATGTTTTCTTCATGCCTTTCTCCATTACAGCCTGATTCCTTCACACTTTTTTATTAATGGTGGAAACCTTTTACCATACAAGTAAGTGCAGAGAATAGTATTATAAAACCCAGGTACCAGCTCCAATAATTATTGATATATGGAGAATATTTTTTACCTGTGTCCTCCTTTTCTTTGGTAGAGTTTTTTTTTTTTCCAACTTTATTGAGATATAATTGACATGGGTAGAGGTTTTTTTTGTTTGTTTTTGGCTGCGTTGGGTCTTCATTGCTGCGTGTGGGCTTTCTCTAGGTGTGGTGAGAGGGGCTATTCTTCGCTGCGGCACGCGGGCTTCTCATTGCAGTGGCTTCTCTTGTGGAGCACGGGCTCTAGGAGCACAGGCTTCAGTAGCTGTGGCTCACGAGCTCTAGATCTCAGGTTCAGTAGTTGTGGCACACGGGCTTAGCTGCTCCGCCGCATGTGGGATTTTCCCAGACCAGGGCTCTAACCCGTGCCCCCTGCATTGGCAGGCGGACTCTTAACCACTGCGCCACCAGGGAAGCCCCAACATGGGTAGTTTTTGAAGCTAATCAAGGGCATCACACCAATTAATCTTAAATACTTCGTGAAGGAGATATAAATTTTTCCATGATTACCATATCATGGTCACGCCTAGCAACATTAATAATAATGTCCCAGAAAGCAGGTTGGCAAATGGCCTTTTCAATTTGACCAGGCCCCAGAACACTAACATTCTCTATCGCAAACTGGTGGTTTCAGCTGTGACCTTGTAGACCGACCTGTGATGCCCATCCTCATAACTGACCCAGAGCCCCTCCCATCCCATAAGGTTCTCGGCCTGCCTTCTGCCTGGAGCCTCAGTACACGGGTCCCTGCAGGGCCCGGAAGATCAGGTACTTCTACGACTCCAAGTCCGGGCACTGCGACATCTTTATATACGGTGGCTGCTTTGCAAAGAAGAACAACTTCCCAACAGCAGAGGACTGCGTGAAGACCTGCGGTGGTTTTGCGGGGATCCGGGGGTAAGAAAGGGGGCAGGGCAGGGTGGGAGGGGAAGGGCTGGGGAAAGAGATGGCGCTCAGGGGGCCACCCACCATTCACAGCTGCACAGTGTCTTTCCTCCTCGCTGCCTCCCAGCAGAAGTGGCTGCAGTGTCCTGTGAAACCGCACCCTGAGCACATCCTCCACGGGCCAGCTTGGCAGAAGGTCACACCTAGAAGCCCCATCATGATAATCTGAGCCTCCTCACATGCTCCCCTTTTCTCAGATGGGAACACTGAGTCAGCCACCCTACAGAGCAGGTCTGCAGAGCTCCTGAGCTCCCCACCTAGGCTTGGAAACACTTCCTTCTTGTTGGTCATTCCAGTTCTGGAGTGGACTTTGGCTGCATATTTCTGGGAAAGTCTAGGATCTGTCGAGATGAGCGGTGTCCAGGTCTGGGGCTTCAGAGACGTCAATCAGCAAGTTCCTTTCTTTTTGCAGAGGACCTGCGAACTGTGCTCTCCCGAAACTCTGAACTCAGGGAGGACACACACAGGGCTGGGCTGTGGCTGCTTCTGAAACAGTGTGATCTCCTCTGAGTCTGTCTCAACCCCACCCTCCTCAGCAGAACCCTGCCTCTCTCCTTCCCCCATGGGTCTACTTGCTTTAGCTCTGTCTCATCCAGTCGGCTCTAAGCACCATGAGAACAAGTGTTCCCTTTATCCTTAGCACTTAGCACAGTCCCTAGCACGAAGGAGACAGTCCATAATTACTTGAGGAAGGAAAGAATGAATGCAGATGCACATTCCTCACAGTGGCTGAGGTCTTTTCAATAAAGAAGCCCCTTTCCCTCACAGTGATGTTGTACATTTTCCTTCTGTGGCTTCCAACTGTCTGTCTTATATTCCAATAAATTCATATTCAAATTAAACTAACTGGAGTGGATTCTGTTGTTTGCAACTAAGAACCTTAACCAATAGGGTCCATGGAAATGGTGGTCCTTCTCACTATTCTGCAGAACAGTTGTCACCTCCCTTTTTCCTGTCCTCAGACTGGGCCCTACCAGGTATAGGAAGCAAACCCATTACAGCACCATCTACCTCTTAATGGCCACCCCAAGCTACACAAAAACCCGTGGGACAGACACCTCAACATGAAAGCTTTCGTTCCTTACTTCTCGGGCCAGGTCAAATTTGGATGCACGTTGCTCTCCTGGACTCTCAGAAGGAGACAAGAAGCATGGGGCTTAATTGCCCATTTTTCCGAGGCATCCCCTTGCCTGAGGTCACATGTGGGGAGGGGGCTTCTTACTACAGTTAAGGAAGGGCAACTACCCTTTTTGTGCGCCAGGCTCTGTGCTAGCATTTTGCCTGCATTCTTCGATTAATTGTCTTAAGAATCCTTCAAGGGAGGAAATGGCGACATAGCGGTGTCACTTAACTGCTGTATGAGTTTCCTAACACAGGAGGTCCAAGCTCTCCCAAGTAGAGTGACTTTGACAATGTTTTCATATTCCTGACTCTGGGAAGATGTGGGATGGAGGTACCTTTGGAGAACTGAGAGTATCTGCTTCACTACAGATGAGGAAATTGAGTCACGGGGACCACAAAAAATGTAGTATTTAAATAAACAAGGATACAGATTGGTGCTGGTTCTGTTACTTCTTTGTAGTCTTGGGCAAATGTCTCGACATCTCTGAGCTTTACATTCTTTAATTATAAAATAAGGATAATGCTTGTACTTGCTAATGTCTCTAGCCAGAGACCACTAAAATCACTCCCGTTCCTAGTTAAACTAGTTGGGTTTATTACTCACTGCAGCAAGGAATAGGAATCACCTTGGAAAACAATATGGTATCTTATTAAGAGAATGTTAGAAAGAACTTATAGGACGTGGGCTTGTGTTGGGTGATTTTGGGGAGGGTTTCAGGAAGCTGGCTTTCCTCTGGATGAATGCTGTTAGGAAGTGGGGCAGTTCTCCGAATGTGTATCTTTATCTTAACTCTAAGAAGGGAAGACAAGATAGCAGTTAGAGCTGTATTTGGTAAAGCAGCATCAGTCACTTATATGAGGCAGAATAGGGGGATTTTTCATTTGGGTGGCTTGTATAATTTAGCTGGTTTTGTCTGTGTTTAAACATGATTACAGAGTGTCCTATTTTTGTCATGATATATCATGGTCCCAGGATTTAGCTGGTTTTGTCTGTGTTTAAACATGATTACAGAGTGTCCTATTTTTGTCATGATATATCATGGTCCCAGGATGGCCTTGTTTGATGTTGAAGTCTTGTGAAATGTTTACATTCATCAGGAGAACTTAAGGCCAGTGATGGTGCCAGGTCAGCCCCGGAATCAGAGGTTGCTTTTCTCCTTCTCTATCAGTCTCAGAGAATTATGGTGAGAATTAAGAGGATGTGATATTTGTAAAACGCTTTGCACAAGTGTTGAGACTGAGCCCTCAATGAATGACTGTTCTGATAACAATAAGGGTAGTAAATAAGTTGTAAATTGTGACAAATAATTTAATATATTAATAATTATTATTTTATAACAGTGTAATGGAAGAGGACTTATTACTAATTAGAAGAATTTGACTTCAGTAGGTGTGGATATTGCTGTGTGATCTTGGGCAAGTCCCTTCACCTCTCTGAGCCACAGTTTCTTTCTTTGCAAAATAGGATTCTGGTATCTGCCTTAAGAAAAACACGGGTACTTTGGGAACTACATTGATTATGGTGCTGAAGTTCTTTGAACACTTCTGACCAACCCACTTTTTAAAAAAGTTTATGTATAATTGATTTACAATGTTGTGCCAGTCTCTGCTGTGCAGCAAAGTGACTCAGTTATACCCACATAGACATTCTTTTTTTATATTCTTTTCCATTATGGTGTATCACAGGACATAATATAGTTCCCTGTGCTATACAGTAGGACCTTGTTGTTTATCCATTCTAAATGTAATAGTTTGCATCTACCAACCCCAAACTCCCAGTCTACCCCTCTCCTTCCCCGCCAACCCCTTGGCAACTACAAGTCTGTTCTATGAGTCTGTTTCTGTTTTGTAGATAGGTTCATTTGTGTCATATTTTAGATTCCACATATAAGTGATATCATATGGTAATTGTCTTTCTCTTTCTGACTCACTTCACTTAGTATGATAATCTCTAGGGCCATCCATGTTGTTGCAAATGCCATTATTTCATTCTTTTTATGGCTGAGTAATATTCCATTGTATATATGTACCACATTTTTTTATCCATTCATTTGTCAATGGACATTTAGGTTGTTTCCATGTTTTTTGTTTTTTTTTTAAAGAAGATGTTGGGGGTAGGAGTTTATTTATTCATTTTTTCTGTGTTGGGTCTTCATTTCTGTGCGAGGGCTTTCTCTAGTTGTGGCGAGCGGGGGCCACTCTTCATCGCAGTGCGTGAGCCTCTAACTATTGCGGCCTCTCCTGTTGCAGAGCACAGGCTCCAGGCGCGCGGGCTTCAGTAGTTGGGGCTCACGGGCTCTAGAGCTCAGACTCAGTAGTTGTGGCTCACGGACTTAGTTGCTCCATGGCATGTGGGATCTTCCCAGACCAGGGATCAAACCCATGTGCCCTGCATTGGCAGACGGATTCTTAACCGCTGTGCCACCAAGGAAGTCCCTGCATGTATCTCTTTGAATTATAGTTTTATCTGGGTATATTCCCAAGAGTGGGATCACTGGGTCATATGGTAATTCTATTTTTAGTTTTTTAAGGAACCTCCATACTTTTTTTCCATACTGACTGCACAGACTTACATTCCCACCAACAACATAGGAGGGTTCCCTTTTCTCCACACCCTCTCCAGCATTTGTTATTTGTAGACTTTTTAATGAAGGCCGTTCTGACCTGTGTGAGGTGGTACCTCATTGTAGTTTTGATTTGCATTTACAAAGATGCAAGCCTTTGTTTGTTGCATCATTAGCAAATATTTTCTCCCACTGTGTAGGTTGTCTTCTCGGTTGTTTTTTTTTTAATGGTTTCCTTTGCTGTGCAAAAACGTGTAAGTTTGATCAGGTCCCATTTGTTTATTTTTGGTTTTATTTCTATTGCCTTGGGAGACTGACCTAAGAAAACGTTTGTACGATTTATGTCAGAATGTTTTGCCTATGCTCTCTTCTAGGAGTTTTATGGTATCATGTCTTATGTTTAAGTCTTTAAGCCATTTTGAGTTTATTTTTGTGCCTGCAGACCAACCCACTTTTTTTTTTTTTAACATCTTCATTGGAGTATAATTGCTTTACAATGCTGTGTTAGTTTCTGCTGTATAACAAAGTGAATCAGCTATATGTATACATATATCCCCATATCCCCTCCCTCTTGCTTCTCCCTCCCACCCTCCCTATCCCACCCCTCTGGGACGAAGTGAGAGGGTGGCATGGACATATATACACTACCAAATGTAAAATAGGTAGCTAGTGGGAAGCAGCTGCATAGCACAGGGAGATCAGCTCAGTGCTTTGTGACCAACCCATTTTTAAAAGCACATGGAGTATGAGATTCCTTCGTTCTCGGCTGCTTTTAGATTTCTTTTTTCTTTTTTCTTTTCTTTTTTTTAAAATGCAGACCATTTTTAAAGTCTTTATTGAATTTGTTACAGTATTGCTTCTGTTTTATGTTTTTTGGCCCCGAGGCATGTGGGATGTTAGCTTCCCAACCAGGGGTCAAACCCACACCCTCTGCATTGGAAGGCAAAGTCTTAACCACTGGACCACCAGGGAAGCCCCCCGACTGCTTTTAAAGTGTGCCGTCCACTGCATTAAAAAAAAAAGAACAAATAGAATTGGGGGGGAGTGTCACCTTTCATAAGCCCCCTCAGGAAATTCCTCAGTGCCCAAGGAGTGTCACTGTTTCCTGAAATGGTCCCTTTCTTCCTCAGAGGTCACCTAAAACACTTTTGCTTCAGTGATAGGTCTCACCCAGTTCCAGTTCCTTGCCCACCCCATCCCACCCTTTATTTGACGCTCTGGTGTCTCAGAAATGTAGGTGGGATTGGGGGCTTCTGCTGATTCTCTTTGG